CTCTGAAGAGAACTCCCATGGATGATGACCGGCACCGCCCCACATGTTGGCCGCCCACCACAGGTCCTCTCCATGAGTCCCAGGGTCTCGTTTGCGGGACGGGAGGCCAAGTCCAGCAGTGTGCTGAGCTCCACTGAGAAAATTTTCGAGGAGGAGGGGCCGCTGGGATTCTCTGCCTTCTCCCTCCCTTGCCGGGAGATGCGGCTTTCTTCTGGGATGGTAGCCCACTGGCCCATTTGATCAATGCCTGCCTGGCACCTCCCAGTGTGATGCAGGGCCCGGGAAGGGACCAGAGCCCAGGTTCCCACTTCAACCGGGCCCTGGCCGTCCTGAGCTATATCGTGTTTGTGATGGGACTTGCCATAAGCATGCCGGCGGTGTCTTCATGGCTGTGGACAAGGCCAGGCTGCAGGCCAGGCTCCCCCATTTGTTCCCCAGTGTTCTAATCTTGTATCCAGGACTGGGAGTACGTGAGTGAGCAAGGCCAGCCCTTCCAAGGCTTTAGCTTGCTTTTCTGCCAGGTGTCATCGGGGTGGTGTTTTGCCCTGGGATAACTGGAATCACCTAAAATACTGCTGTCCACCATCAGCCTGGCCCCCATGCGTAAGGCTGATCGTCTGGGAGCTTGCCTGACGTAATACCTCTCTGTGCTCCAGCCCACCTGGACTTCAGTTTCCATATTTGCCAGACGTCCGTCCAGATGCAAGGGTGTGGCGCGGCAGGTCCCCTGTTAGACCTGGGTGAGGTGGGGTGGGGTGGGGATGGAAATTGGGGCCGAATCCCCTTATTTTCCAGATTTGCTGAGTGTGCCTTGGGCAGGGGCCCAGAGAATGGCCTGTGGAGGTCCAGGTTGGATGAAAAAAGGCTCAGGGGGTCAGATCCTACCCCAGCGCTCCTGCTTTGCAAACAGGACCTGTCCCCTTCCCCCTGGCGACCGTCACATCTAGGCCTGCGCTGGGAAGCTATTGTTAGGTTGCTTTGTTCTCCTCAGCACAAATTCTCTGATATGAAGGCAGCATTTTCTAAATGGGAAATCATGTGACTGCTCAGAATGCATCCCCCTCATCAAATGCCCGTTGGTTTAATGGGGAGGGCAGGATCTGGTTAGCTGTGCAGCTGTGAATACCCAGAAGTTACACACATCAGTGTCTCTCGTCCTACCCAGTTGAAAAGGTCTTGATACAATTTGACCTTTTCTTCCTCAAAAAAAGTGTTGGTGGTGATTTAGAGGGAAAAAACAATTATGGCGACAACAGCTGACCTGGAGCACTTATGACACGCCTGGTCGGGCACCTGCAATTGATAATCCTCACTGCCACCTAGTGAGACACAGAGTAGTGTGTCCAGTTTACAGATGAGGGAACCGAGGCTTAAGGCAGTTGAGTTGGGAAGTTCACAGAAATTACAGTGTCTGAGGACTGACACTTACTTTCGTTCTGCACGTCCGTCTGGCTGTGAGATTTGTCTTAGTTATAGGGGACGTGTGTGCGAGGCTGCACCTGTGTGCTCATGCTGTCTCCACCCCGGCCATGCCCTGGCCCAGGCTCCAGCCCAGACCTCGTCAGTGAGAAGCTGGGGGGCAGAAGGGGCTGAGAGTCTGAGGGAGACCCTCAGTCAGTTTCTGGACACTTGCTCAGACCCTGGGTTCTCTTGGGTGCTGTGGACTGGGGCTGAGGACGGGAACTCTGAGAGAAAACAGCCACCATCCAGCGTGTGAAATACCCACCTCCCTTCGGGACTAAAGCTGATGGGGATACGAGAAGGTGTGCAAGTGGCTCGGGGAAGGATGCAAACAGGTCTCTGCCTTGGGGACGAGGGTGCAAGGAAGAAGCTGGAACCAAGGAGCGAGTGTCTCTGCCTCATGCCTTTGAGTTGGCATCCTGGAAAAGTATCTGCTGTTCGAAGGAAGCCTCTGGACCCAGTGTAAGCTATGGCCTTAGCCCCACGAGGGCAGGGACTCAGAAGACCTTACACGCCTGTTCGACATCGCTGTTCTTATGGAAGAAATTTACAAAAACGTCTACCAATACATTTTTTTCACTTTATTCTCACTACATCCTTAAAGTAGATCTGATTACCAACCATTTTACAGATGAAGAAACAGGCCCAGAGAGGTGAGGTGACTTGTCCAAGACCACACAGCTACTTAGTGGCAAGGGAAGGACTAGAATCCACCTGACACCCGATCCAGGGCTCCTTCTATTTCAGCCTTCCCTGGCATTGAGCAGATGCCCAAGAAATAGTTAATCAGTTACCTAATTGAATTAGGCCCTGGGTCCCCTCGTGGAACTTTCCGTGTTATCACCGCCTTCCTCAGGCCCCTCGCTCCCAGCACAAGCCCAGCTGGACCAGGTGGAGGGAGGATCCCTACCCCGGGAAACGTGTTGCGGTTAATATCCTCTCCTTGGCCAAACCACACACAGCATACTTGTCATGGGCCATAAACTCATGCTGCTCTTTAAAAAGAAAGAAAGAAAACCTGTCCCTGTTACTTATCTCTGGGGGAGGCGACCAATTCCCCTCCCCCACGTGCTGGCTCTGCACAACGGGAAGAAATATTTCTTCTCATTTGTTCTAAATTTACTGTCCAGTAATTTTTCTGTCCTCATTTTATGTGACAGGCAGCTGAGCGATTTTCTCCCAGCCCCTTTCCTGAATCTCAATCACCCCAATAAATCGCTGCTGACACCTCCTCTCCAGTCCTAAAAGAAAAAAATCACCCCAGCGTTGGTGGCCTTTGCTGGGGGATGGCTTACCTCCTAGAGGGCTTCAGACCCTTACCTGTGGTCAGTGCAGGCCAACTTTGGCCCCAGCATCCTCCCTGAAAACCACACAATATCTAATGAACGTCTCCCCTGCACCCCTGTGCCCTGCCGTTGAAGGTGAAGGGAAAAGGCAAAAAAATGCAGCCATTGGTCTCTAAAGCTTACAGCCTAGGAGGAGGGGACTCTGAGAACCTGATGAATTATGTGTCGGGGGTGCTTTGTGGGGGGCAAATCAGCCATTGAATCCCCAGGGGCGAAGGTGGGGGGATAGGAGTCTCCTGCTGAGTGGAGGGAATGTGCTAGCAATGGCAGGCTGGGAGAGGAGCGAGCGCAAGGTGGGTAGGAAAGTTCCGGGCGCTCAAGGAGGAGCGGGAGAGGAGGTGCCGGGAAGGCATGGGGGAGCTGGGCCTGGGCTGGTGGGTCGGGCTGGAGCCCAGCTTGATGAGGGGTTTGCAGTGGACCCCAAGTGACAGGGTCATCAGCAGTTTCTGAGCAGGGCCTGTGGGAAGCTTACAAAGAGATCAGCCGCCCCGGCCCTAAGGGGTCCTGAATCAGGGTGGGAGTCAAAGGTTTGAGATTGGGATTCAGGGGTGTTAGAGTCGGAACCCCAGGATAGCTTGGAATCACCTGCTCCCATAGCGCGGGGGAGACGCCCAAACGCTGCTCCTGGCCAAGGGTGGGCAGAGCCGGGCCCAGGGCAGGAGAGTGAAGCGAGGGGGGGCTCACTGCCTGGCACCGTCCTGGGGCAACCTCTTGCTTGCTGCTGGCTAAGCTGAAGTTCTCTGTTTCTATGCGGGGCTGTTGGGAGGATCGGATAAGTTATTGCATTAAAGGGGTGTCTGGCACATAGTAAACACCGAAGAAATGTTAGTTCTCACCCTGTTGAATGGAAGAGGCAGCTGAAAGAGGGTGAATACCCTGCCCCAGGTCAACCCACTGGTACGGTTAAGACAAAGCGCAAGCGCGTGGCATCCACTCCCACAGCCCCATAGAGGGCTGCAGGTGGCCACCAGGGGGCACTCTGGCCTTGGGAGAAGGACTGTGGGCGGCGCAGCATTCCTGCGCAGGGGTGGAGGCAGGTGCTAGGCCCGTTATGCAGGCTGAGTTGCTGCACACATACCTAGTGGGGAGTACAGTCTAATATCCGTGTCTTCTCACTCGCAGTGCAGTGAGCTTTCATATAAAAATGTTTTTATTTAACCAGAATATTTACCATACCTCCTTCCCCAATCCCGTTGTACGAAAATGCCAGTGCCGGCTAAATGTGCATTGCTAGTTTGACAAGGGGTAATATGGCGTGAGGACTAGGGGTTCACCTGCAATTTGGGGTGGAACAGGCTAGACAAGAGTTCTGAGCTACATTTTGTAGGATGCATCAGACTTTACCAGATGGCAGGGTTGCAGGGAGAGAATATGTAGAGGGAACAGTGCATGCAAAGGCACAGAGGCAGAGTCTGGAAGAGCAAGGTGTGTCCCGGGAATTGTAAGTGTGGGGGGGAAGGGGAGAGAGGGGGACAAGGACAGATGAAGCTGAGGCCACGGAGCTGGGACCGGTGAGCAGGGAGATTGCCAGTTTCCAGCTGGGAGGGGACTTACCAACTGTACCTTTGTCTATTTATTGCTCATGAGACCCCTTGGGGCCCCGGGGAGGGAAGCCCAGCCCCACGCCCCGCTGCCCTGAGTGGGAGACTCTGCTCAGCGCCTGGCACTGCGGAAACTGGGAGTCAGGAAGGGAGAGTTAACCCAAATTCTCACAGTCCCAATTACTGATCTCATTCAAACCTCAATCCTATTCTCTCCCTGCGAGGAGGCCTTAGAGAGCTACATGCCCTAATTCAGGTGGTGCCATTCATCCAGACACAGGTATTTTATTACAGAGACTTCCAGAATGCGTGGTTCATATGGGAGTTCACACAGAGCTGGGCTCAGTGGGCCTGAGGCAGCAGTCCTGCGTCCACTGGACAGCTTCACCTTCCCACCTAGTTTCTGCTTCCTTCCGGTCTTCCTAGGATCTGTGGCCCCACCAAGTGTCATGTCAGGCTGTTGGGGGAGGGCAGGTTTTTCCCAGAACTGGTCCAAGGGTATGGGAGGGAAGTTGTGGTCAGATGGGGTGTGGGGAATGGATCCAGCCCCCCTTGTCATGATTTCCTGGACCAGTCATGCGGCCACCCTGGGATGGTGGGGACATGATCTGTCACCCTGCGCCTGGCTGATTGGTCTCATCTCTTGGCACAGGGGCACAGAGCTTTGGCCTGCTGGATCCCAAACTGTGCTACCTGCTGGACGGGATCCTCCTCATCTATTGCATCATTTTCACTGCCCTGTACCTGAGAGCAAAGGTGGGTGCCATGGGCCTTGGGGAGAAGGCACGGGCTCCCCTACTTGGTGGATGTTCAGAAGGGCCTTAGTCTTGGAAAGTCTCAAGCATGGGTGGTGCCTGGAGCCTGGTGTCCCTGGCAGAGCAGGGGCCAACCAAGCACGCACCTTGGGCGGCGGGGTGGTGTCTGACGGAGCCCTGCAGAGTGGGAGGGAGAGTGTGATGCTGGGTGTCCTCCGGAGGAGCCATACAGATGAGCCAACATCATAGCATCCCAGGGCAGGGCTACCGCTGGCCGGAAAGGAGCTTAAGCTTCAGGCAACTAAGAGCGGGAGGTGGGGGACCTGTGGTGTCTTCCCAGGCTCTGCTGTCCCGCTGCTGACTGAGATGGACCCAGCCTGTCTCCGGAAACTTCAGGGTCCCTATCAGTGCACGTGAGGGTGGGCCCAGAGCATGGGTTTTCAGCTGGTGCCTCACGGAGTCTGGATTTCTTGCAAGGGCTGGGGCCGGGGCGGGGGGCCGCAGTGCCAGCAGAGGGTGGAAGGAGGCTCCCTCCTTGTTATCACTTCAGTCCTCCCACCTATTGCTCTTTTGGATGGTAGACTTAGGCAAAAGATTTCATTTGTGAAACTGTCTTATTTACTGATTTCCTTTTTAAAAGTTTGAACAGAGCTGTCCTAGATGATCTCTCAGGTGGTTTCCAATGCTGTGCACCTGTAAGATCCTGCCGTTTCTCTCGGCTCCGGCGGAGAGAAGAGCGCCAAGAGCGAGGCTGTGTGCGCCTCGGGCAGGTCCTCCAGGACACTAAGCTAGTGCGACGCAGTGACGCACGAGGTCACGACAGGAGCTGGGACCTTGTGCAGCCACCGTGCCCCTCGGAGTGGCCGCCCGGGGTGGGGGGCCGGCGCGGGGGGGCCGCACGGGCCCAGCGCACAGGCGGGGGAGCGGGGCTCTAACCGCGCCACCCTCTCTTCCAGTTCGGCAGGAGCGCGGCCGCCCCGCAGGACCGGCAGGGCCCCAACCAGCTCTACAACGTAAGTCTGCCCTCCCGCAGCCCGCCGAGGGGCCGGCGGCAGGGTCCCGGCTGCACGCACCCCGCCGCCCGTTGTCTAACGTCCCCAGGGCTTCGTTTTCTGGCGCGCACACGGGGCCCGTGATTGTCCCGGCCGCGCGGGGGCGCTGCGAGCGTGCCCTGGCCGGTGAGCCCCTCCAGCCCGCACTTGGCAGGGGCCCCGCTGCGGGTGGGAGGGGGGGTCAGTCGGCCTGCAGGGCAGCAGGGAAGAGATTTCACTCTGCCTGTGCAATGGGACTTGGGCCGGATCTATTTACACACACACACACACACACACACAGTCATGGTAATGCATGTTCTCTGGGATGCTCTACCAACATGGACCAGTTTTCACTCTAACCCCAGTCCCTGCTCCTTTCCTTGAGAGTCACCACCCAGAGGGGGCTCCCAGTCCAGCTGGCCCAGTCCTCCTGTCCTCCCAGCCCTCTCTGACGCTGTCCTGTTTTAGGAGCTCAATCTAAGAGGAAGAGAGGAGTATGAGGTTTTGGATAAGAGACGAGGCCTGGACCCTGAGATGGGAGGAAAACAGGTAGGGTATCTGTCTCTGCCTGTGTGTGTGAGTGTGGGTGAGTGTGGGTGTGAGTGTGGGTGTGCTCAGCAGGACAGCCAGGAGACAGCTCCTCAGAGCCAGCTCACGCGCACTCCACCAGCACACTCTGTCCTGACGCGCAAGGGACCTGGGGCCTGAGGACAGTCGGAGCCCCCATTGCTTCCATCCCCTTCTCTTCCTTCCCCCTGGGCTCCATTCTGCATCGCAAGGGACCTCCCACACATGAATGTGGCACTCTGGCCCTCGCGACCAAGCTCTACCCACCTCCCCTTAAACTGCTTGGCCACCCTGAGATGCACATGCAGTGGGGCTGTCTGCTCCCCAAAAGGACATATCTGGTGAAGAGGTCCACACAGGAAGGGCCCAAGTCCCTTGGACAAGGAATTCCGGGGCCCAGGTACCCCTTGGATCACGGTCCGGCTCCGGGCTCCTAGTGGCTCTGTTCTCTTGGCTGTCAACTCCACAGCCTGGGGGGAGAGGAGGCTGGAGGAGGCCAGGGCAGAGTCCTCTCATAAACAGGGTTCAGGGGCACCTGGCTGGCTCAGGCAGTTAAGCGTCTGACTTTGGTTCAGGTCATGATCTCGGGGTACCGGGATGGAGCCCCTCTTTGGGCTCCCAATCAGCAGGGAGTCTGCTTGTCCCTCTCCCTCTGCTCCCCCCCCTCACCCCGCTCATGCTCTTTCCATCTTTCTCAAATAAATAAGCAAAATCTTAAAAAAAAAAAAAAAAAAAAAAGGGCAGGGTCCAGCCCAAAGGCCCAGGCTGCCCTGGTTTTAGGGCAGAGCTGCCTGACAGTGCCCAGTGGCCCTTGATGTTTCTGGGCACACCTGCCCCGCAGCCCCCCTCCACACTGAGCCCTGTGCTGGGCATGTTTCCTTGGCCCCCCGCCCTCCAGCCTCAGCTCTGCTCTCCTCTTCTTACTTGGACTAGGAGGGGTGAAGAGGGGTGGGGACGGAGGGGTCACTAGGGCCTGCTGGGCAGTGGCTGGCCCTGCTCTAAGTGCAGGTACTCGGTACCTTTCATTTTCAGCCAGAAATGCCATTGGTAAGCTTTACGTGTGGCACTGTATCTGCCAGGGGACACGGACCGGCTACTCCGAGGCCTGCCCCGGGCAAGGCTGGGCTGAGGAGGCCCTGCGGGGGTGAGACCAGTGTGCCAGGGAGTGTGCCCGTGTGCACTAAGGAGTAGGAGCCGCAGTAGAGCTGTGAGGGCGGGGGGCGGTGCACAGACGGGTGGCCCAGGGTGGGAGGAGGGGGGCGGCGGGGAGGATGCTACAACCCTCCTGGCCTGGAGCCCTGTTTCTCCACCTCTCACCTGCCCCTCGTCTTTCCCAGCAGAGGAAGAGGAATCCTCCGGAAGTCGTGTACAACGTGAGTACGGGAGGGGGCACGTGGTCCCTTGGGAAGCTGGAGCTGGGCTTGGGGTGAAGGCATTGCTCCGTGCCCCGATCTTTGCCTGACTTGACCTTCACCTTCCTGCACCACTTGGCTCACGGGCTTGCTGCCTGCAGCGGCCAGCTGCTGGCTGGCTGTTCCGAGGACAGCCCCTTCGCTTGCCTTCCCCCTCCTCGGTCCCCGGGTCCGCTGTTGGCGTTCCCTGTAGATGGCGCTGGGGGACAGCAAGGTCAGGCTGGGCGAGAGTTGGGTGGCAAGCCCCTGGGAGGTCAGCCTCACCACCTGGGTGCGGATCTGATTGTGGTTTTCAGACTGTTGATCTGGGCTGCCCTGAAGGGGACCGTTGCAGGTGGTAACCTCCTGTGAGGAGAGCCACCTCTTCTTCCTTCCTGCAATTGGCCGATCCACAGCCCGTGGTGTTGGCCCTATAAAGAGACAAGTTGCTCAAATATGTGGTTCTGGGGACTCTGGGTGAGCCCTTGCATTGTCCACATTCATGTGCTTTGGCTAGAATTCCACATTTTATCTTCCAACCTAACTTGAGCTTCTCAGCTCAGTGCACAGGGCTGGCAGCTCAGAGAATGTTCCAAAGGGCTGAGGAGGAGAAGGGTAAGGCTGGAGCTGGTTGTGGGCAGAGATGCTTCTGTGAAATAAGGACTGGAGCTTTGACTGTGGGAGCTCCCTGCCAGCTAGGAAGTCGAGAGGCTTCCTCTTGTGTGGAAGCCCACTGTTTTCTGCATTAGTTAGTAAACTCCGTGTCCCACGCCCTCTGCTTTTCCAGGCGCTGCAGAAAGACAAGATGGCAGAGGCCTACAGTGAGATTGGGATAAAAGGCGAGGTGAGTGCTGATTCCCAAGGATTGGGTCAGGGTGGGGATGCTCCCAGGGAGGCCCTCCTCACCTTCTAGATGTGCCCGCTCTATAGGCCTCCGTCCCGTCCATTTGCAGCCATTCCTTGTATCACTGACAGAAGGCCCTGTGGTAGCTGCCAGGGGCAAAGGGTAACCCAGCTCTTTCCCACTTGACAGCACCTAAGACAGTGAGGAAAGGTGATGTTCTTTCAGGAACCAAGTCTAGATTCTAAGATGCACTAAGCTTTGTAAAAACCAAGTCAAATCTGTCACCATCAGTAATTACTAAGTGCTTACTGTGTGCCATGCTGTGTTAGGACTCTGGGGCAAAATGGAAATGCAGGGCCCCTTGTTTCTAAAAGATTAAGAATTTCCAAATGGTGAGAGCAGAGCATTGACCCCTCCTGGGCAGGGGCTGCGTAGGTCACGTGTCCCCAAAGCAGGCCTGGTCCGTGCTTTACTGGGTAGGTGGTCTCACGTCATCCCCACAATAACCCAGTGAGAAATGTGTGCCCTGCAAGGCACAGGAGGTGAAGTGACTTGCCCAAGGTCGCTTAGCTAGTAAATAGGGGAGCCCGGATGTGCGTGGACTCTGTAGCCAGAGCTGCTACCACTATGTGGTTGCCATTCCCGGTGAGCATTGAGGAGTAGCTAGGAAGTCCAGGAGCGACAGGGAGGCCCGTTTATTCCAAGCGGCAGGCAACATGGCCAGCTCCCATGCGGCCCGGATTCTAGAACTCTGGGGTCTCTGAGCGTATGAGTGGGGCAGAGCAATCCTGGGCCGCATCGAAGCCAGTCCTCACCTTCTCTGCGGAGTGAGGTCTAACCAGTGGCCTGAGGACCCTTCTTTCCCAGGGGTGAGGGTGCGGGCTGGGAGACAGACGGTCACCTCCGACTCTCTGGGGGCCCCGAGAGTAGGGGCCTTGAGCAGGAGCCGCTGCTGAATGTCTGACTCTCTGCCCCTTTGTCTCCTTCCCACAGAACCAGCGTCGGCGAGGGAAGGGGCACGATGGCCTTTACCAGGTGAGAGCTGAGGCAGTGCCTCTGGTCTGTGCTGAGGGCCTTCCCTCCCTGCGTGGTGCCAGCTAATCAGGAGCAAGTCTAGACTCGCCCATTTTGCTTGCTTGGTGGCACCCAGCTCTTGCCATCAGCTGGGCAGGGCCAAAACCCCAGGCCTCAAATCAGGTCCCAGTGCCACCTCTGCCAGGAAGGCCTTGGGGCATGCCTGGGATTCAGCCATCCAAGCACAGTGACTTGGCTCCAACCAGGAGACCATGGGAGCCCCCAGGCACTGGCCACAGATAAGCAGCCACTGCCCAGAGGGCTGATGTAGGCAAAGGACACCACACAAGCAATTTTCTGCCTCTTCCTCCACAGCTCGGGGCCCTTGCAAGAAGCCTTGCTCAGCCTTGTATCCGCAGACCTAATAAGATGGGTGGATGGGTGGGAAAATTGAAGGGCAAAAAAATCAAGAGAAACAGTAACTTTAAAAAGGATATGTTGTTATAGTCAGGTGCCTGGTGTATGCAAATAAGTGTGAAAAATTATGCAAACCAAGGATACCCAGCCTACTTCTCTAAAATATAATCCCCAGCGGGTTCTTATTTGGCTACTTCTGGCTCCCCTGGGCTCTTCACAGCTTGCTTGACTGACTCCAACGTGTCAGGCTGCCCAGCTTGCCCCAGTTCAGAATGTCAAAAGGGCCCCCAGAATGTTCCTGTGTGTGGCTGCTTTGATCTGCCTTCTGGACCAGGGAGAGATGTTCCAGTGGGACTGAGACCAGCTTGTCTGCTCCCCGACAAAGAACACAACTGTAGTAGGGTGACGTGGGAAGGAGGCTGGGGAAGGAGGGCTGAGGTCAGGGAGCCACCGTCTCCCTGTGACAAGTCCTGGCTTCCTGGAGGCCCAGGTATCAGGGACAGCAAACTCTCTGGAGCAAACCTGATCCCAGCTCAGTGTTCAGGGATGAGGGTGCTCCCCTTCCTCTTGGGTCCAACCGGAAGGCCTTCTAGGCCCATGTACAGTAGGGCTCAGTATGTAGGGAGAATTTAGCTGGAAAGGAATTGCTCCAGGGCTGTCTGCGGCAGGGCAGAGAGTGCATCTCTCCTGCAGCCCTCTTGGGTCCAGGCCCGCACCCATGGCGTGAGGGGCTCGTTCCACTTGTTCACCTCTGGGTAGGCTCACACGGAGTTCCTGACCCACTTTTCTTTTCTGATTTGCTTTCCCAGGGGCTCAGCACTGCCACCAAGGACACCTATGATGCCCTCCACATGCAGACCCTGCCTCCTCGCTAACAGCCCCAGGCATTTCACCAACCATTTCACAGGCCAGACCTGCCCAGATTGTTAAAGACTCAGGATAAAGCATTTATAACCCAGTTCACTCCTATTTCTCCACCACCAAAGTATTCCCTCTTATGAATTGGATGCTTTGCATTTTAACATTTGGTCATATCCAACTCCAAACCATCATCCCTGGGCTCTGGAGGGGAGGGTGCTCCGCCAGGGTTATGGCCCTGACCTCGAGGAGTGCTTTGTGAGTGCCACCCGTTCTCGGGGCTTCTGGGGGTCTTGTGGTTCCTCGGAGACTGTGGACGGGCCCCTCTCCTGGAGGCCCCGGGCTCTTACCTGGGAGACGGGTACATCCTCCTCTCACAGCCATGTTCTGTCCGTGTTTTGTCAAGTCCCCAGAGAAATCCCAAATGTTAGCACATATCCCACTAGTCTTCACTGTTCCGTCAGTATTTCAGTGTCTTTGCTCCTGCTGTAAATTTGGCTTCTGTTGTCAACCTGCGCCCTCATTTCAAGGTCACTTGTCACTGGGGCAAAGGGGCTGTTGTGCCTCCCCGTGCAAGGTCTGGGCGGGTGGGGGTGGGGAGAGCCGTGCAGGTCTGTGACAGCCCCGGCCCGGGTGGCTGAAGCAGGGGAGCAGGCGAGCGGTGATGGAGGCTCAGCTAGAGCACAGGGCGGGGTGCGGGGCAGACAGGAAGGGGCCCTCCTTCACAGAACTTAGCGTTCGTGGGCTGGGCGCTCTGGGGAGCGGACGACGAACAAGCCTGTGCTTGTCCTCACGGAGCTCACTCTCACCAGGGACGCGAGTTGTGAACAGGCCGGCCTCAAGCACGTAGTAAGGGCCGTGGCAGAGTGCGAACAGTGGGGGCGAGGGAAGGGGGCAAGAGCACACTCTTTCCAGGCACTGGCTCACCTCACACTCCGAGTGAAAGACAGCGTCCCTGGGAAGGCCTCCCCAGGAGGCACGGCCCCTCACAGACCTGCAGACACCCGAGGGCTGTGGCGGGGTCGCCTCGGCCGGCTTCCAGGAACAGTGCTGTACTGTAAGGTGTCATGTGTGACCCTCTCTGCCCCGCTTGGTTTTAATTTATACTGGTTTGCTAAAGCCTTACTTACTCTTCTGCATAATAAACGCTTTGGTGAAGCAGCCTTTACTGTGAACTTTATTTCGGCAGTCCAGCAGGTAATGGTGATTCGGTCTGGGGCGACCCATCTGGTGCCCTTGCCATGGGCCGAAACCGCTGACTCCCAGAGGCCACGATGGTTCCTTGGGCCAGGCAGGTGGGCCCAGGTGCATCCAGGGCCGGGAGTGCTGCCGTCCGGGCTGGCGGCCGGGCCTCGGGGCCGAGCGGGCGTCAGGCTGGGCCAGGCCTGGGCGGGACCTGCGGGGAGGGCCCGGGGAAGCAGCCGGAGTGCAGGGCTCCCAGCCCCGTGGCCAGCTTGGGGAGGACGGGCACGCGGCAGAGGGGGCCCACGGAGCAGCCCCTGGCAGCCGACAGGGTGTCCGGGAGTTGCGACGGCACAAACCCTCGGGCTGCAGGGTTTGGGGAGGGCTGGAGCATGACAGAGGTCTCTTTAGGTCAGGGTGTCTGTAAATGTGGTGGCCGTAAAAGAGGCCCCAACTCGTCAAGCTCCCAATTAATATGGGGCCGACTTGGGGCGTTTGGGATTCCAGCAGGAGTGACTGGAATCTCTGCGAGGCGTACATGTAGCACCTCATGAGGAGAAGGCGTTCAGTTTGAAACCGGGCCCCGTCGGGGGAATGCAGTGCCATTCAACAAATATTTACCCTGCACCTACCTGTTTCTGTGCCCAGCATTTTGCAAGCTACCAGGGAGGGCAGAGAAGAGCCACCACAGCGTTCAGGACTTAAAATTTTGCCGTTGGATTCGGGCCGCACCACGGAAAAAGCACCGCAGGTCGCATCACGACCCACAAGGCGGCAGGCAGGAGGGGGAGCCGCCAGGGAAGGGGTGCAGACAGTCCAGCAAGGGCCTGGGAAGCGGGGCAGGTTTCGTGCGAGGTAGGCCTCTGACGCCTGCCGGCCCTAATTGGGCGGCCTGGTCACCAGGCAATGGAATGGGAAAATGACAGTGAGTGGCTTTAGCTGCCTTGATTCCAAGACAACAGACGGCCCCTTTTGGGTTGCTACTCCTTTGGCTTCTACTCACTGGGCTTTTTAAAACCTGAGGTTGGGTTCATCTGTTAGTCAAAGTGAGTGAGCCTCATACCTCAGACCGAGTCAAGGTCCGCTGAGTTACCCACAGGCCGCGTGACCCGTATGGCTGGCTTGCAAATAGGAGTTGGATCCAGTTCCGTCAAGAATCTGATCAAGAGGCAGGGAGGAAAGCTAGCAACGAGGTGTGGGCGCTGCAGCTGACCTAGGTGGGGGAGTGAGGACACTTACTGGACCACAGGCAAGACAGCCACACAGAGCAGCCAGCTGGGCGAGGGCTGAGCACACGCTGGGGGAACGAAGCAGGGGCCAAGGGGAGGCGGCCCTGGGGCAGCCCAGCCCCTGCCCTTCCTCGGGTCTGGCAGTCCTCCCTTCAAAGCACAATTGTATTCCTTCCATCCCAGGAAGTTACTGATTGTAGAAGATGTGCTATCAACTTACTTTTAAGTACAAAAACAAACAAACAAAAAACCACTCTTAACATAAACACCCATTGTAAGATGCAGCCCTGTTTCGTAAGGGTTAAAATATGAAGATGTGTTTTAGGACCAAGGAAGTATGGCATTTCACTTGCATTGAGGAACCAAAACATTTTATGTGTGTACGTAAATTAAAATGGAAGCTTCCAAAGTATCTTTCAAAACTGTCATGACTTTGATGTCACTGAAGTCAATGTGGATAATTCTGATCAGTTTTTCTTCTTCCTGGAATAGAACTCAAGGCTCCTGGTTTACAAACAGAATAGTCACTGACGCCCAGGTGTGGCAGGTACAAAAAGGGCAGATGATCCATTCGGCTAAGAGGATAGCTCCAAAGGGGACTCAGGGCCTGGGCGTTCGGTTATGGCCGTTAGCTGTAGATCTTGTTCTGTCCGTGAATAACTCGTGCATTTTGGTGGCCTGGCCCTGGATATTTCTGTGAACCTATGACTGAGGTGAGGTCTAACTACAGATTTATGTCCTACAACTTCAAGCCCTAGTTTTGGGAGAAAAGGCAACAATAAGAGCAGACGTTATTCACATCACCTCGTAGGTGATTCAGCTTGGCAGATGCCAACAGGAAGCGGGTTAGAAAAGGACTGCAGGGTAATGATCTAATTCAGTACTCTATCCCCGTTCTTTAGGGTTCACAAACGGGTTTTGCTTTCTCAAGTCTTTCCCATGCTAGTGAGCGTGCCACTGTCTCTACCAGAGGATTTCTATTAAAAATAAGCCCCCAACTTACATGCAAGCTATAAATACAAGAAGGGGTGGATGGTAATGGAGGAGGAGCTCTTGGAGGCAGGAGCAGGGGACAGAAGAGCTGGTATTGCCTTCCCACCCTGGGCCCTGCAGGGGACGGCCAGCGCCTTGGAGACAACAGCCGTCTCCTCCTCCGCAGGGCACACAGGGCCAGGTTCAGTCCAGTTAGACAGGAGTGCCTCCGAAAGCTCTTCAACAAGCTCAGGTTTGCTCTCTGGGAGAATTCACTTTAAGAGTCAAATGCTCAGACAACAGGTTGCATTATGACACTAAATGTGAACTAGCCTAAGCCGGAGGGAGCTAAGCCAAGCCAAGCTGTGTGCTCTCCGACAGGAGAACCAGACACCAAGTCCAGGACTAGCCTCTTTCAGAGAACCCCAGAGAGTGGGTGTTCAGGATGTGGCAGGGAAGGCTGGAGGGGCACAAGAGTGTAAACAGTAAATGCGGAAAAGTCAAGTTCAATGCCAGGTCTGCCGTCAAAGACACAAGTGAAGTGGGAGCTCTGGAGTTTTCTTGCAGGACTAGTCAAGGGCCCGTGTGTTTGGTCACACAAAGCCCAGGGGGTGTGAAGGAGACTACTGCTACTTGAATCAGGGCCCCCCTTAAACTCTGAGGGTCTGGGGAGGGAAAGGTGTGCTGGTCACAGCGCCCCCCAGGGGCACAGGAGGAAATGCACAGTAGGACCCAGGGTGGGCGTGGGCTAGGAACCAAGATGCTCAGGGGGCCTGGGGCTCCTGGGAGCTCCTGCTGGAAAAGACAAACTGGAAGGCTTCCGTGACCCTCTGTGCGGGAAGCATCCAGAACACCAACACAACAATTTCAAGGAAACTCCCAACAATGTGAAAACACTTGGAAAATGGTTTAATGATGTTTTACAACAGAAACGAACTGTACAGTTACAGTAAGTTTAATATATATATAAAAATTACAGCAGACAAATGCATCTACACAAAATCTACCATTTCATTCTGATTCACTGTCACCTACGCAATCTCTCCCAAGCCTACAGCCCCTGCAGGAGGCCCCAGGAGGGGGAATCATATAAAGGGCACTTTTAAAGAGACAGCACCACTCATATTCCCCACCGCCTCCCTCAGGCCTCTGGGAGGCACATCAGCTAATTCCCCAAAATGTAAAGTTGCTTGTGTTTTGGGTTTTTGAAATCAAGAAAACGTGTGTTTCCCAGGGGCCCAGATAACAAGTTCCCCCGAACTCCAAGTTATCAGCAGATTCTTACAAAACGCCCCTATCAGAGGGGAAATGGCTAAGCAGGCACTCTGGGGCGGGCTATGCAGCAGCCACCCAGACTGCACCGGGATCTAAGGAGAAACGTAAAAGGACGCCCAACCAACTACTCAGAAACTGTCACTGCCTCGTTAAAGCTGCTGGACGATTTTGGAAAGAATCATTTACACCACATCTTAAGTTTCCACAAAAGAGAACTCAAACTCACATTTTAAACTTAAGTACATAAAACAAAAAGTTTCGGGAGGCCAAGGGGCCAATACCCCTTATGACTCTCCCTTGACAACAGTGGAAAAACACCCCTGAATCAATATTTAAAAAAAAAAAAAAAAAGGAAGAAAAGAAAAAGAGGGGGAGGGGGAGTTAAGATATTTAAAGACAGACAGAGAGAGAGAGAGAAGTCTTTAGGAAAACAAGATCACTGTCTCTTTAAAACAAAACAAAATCCTCGTTGGGAACAGTAATCCGCAAATATGCAATCCAAATTGAACCTGGTGGAAGTTTATTACTGAATATTATGTACACTCAGAACTTTTTCATTTTCTTTTTTATTATGAACACCTAGGCAGTGAAAACTGTTATGTTAATACATACATAGACACACCCAAAACATACAAAAATACTATTATTTCAAACTACTAAGAATAGGACAGTTCAGTTATTTTCATGCTATGACTTTAAGAGCATTACACTGAAACAAACAAGAAGTTAAACGACATTTTTTTTTTTTTAATATCCCAGAAATATACCAAAATATACATCTAAGCTTTGGAATTACTGAGGTTAGACTAATGCAAGTGCTGGGTAATCGTACTTAATACACAAGTCTAAGGTTCTGCAGGAAAGAAATCATCTTTGGTATCTGCATCAGGCTAATATTATTAACATT